GTCTCTTCTGCTTGTTCAGTGTGTCAGCCCTGTCAATTGTCGACAAATGGCATATTAACCTGCTGTTGACTCTATGTGCCAAGAGCTCAACAGAAAAACAAGTTTAAACAAAGTTGGGGGGATTTACATGAGACAGAAGAAAGAACAGTCCCCACTGCACAAACACCAGCACATTTCGGGATCCGTCTGTCAATCTTCTTTGGTTAAAAGATCACTCAAGCTCCATTACACGGTCTGCTTCAGAGAGAGAAGAGACAGGTAGGAGAGCACCCGATCTTGCGGGTGGGTAGCATTTACACAGAGGATGCTGCTTTTGATGAAACCCGCCCAGCCCAGGAGCAGAATCCCAACAGCCTGCAACCCACCTCAGGCGTGGGCCTACCCCACAAGCTGCTGTGGCCCTGACACAGCTGTTTCCGTTTTTTATTACGATTTTCTCCGCCTTTCATTCTCCAAGCCAACAAGAAGCTCAGGGGGCCCATCTGTTCCTCCCTTGCCCCTTTGCCTGTTCCCAGAAGCGAAGCACACACATGCACACTTGCACACGCACATGCACCCCCTTGCCACCACCTCACCACCCCAAACTGCTGTGGGGACAGCTAAGAACAGGAACTAGAAGTGGGCATCACTCCACACCCCTGGTCAGCCCTCCAGTGAGCAGAAAGGAGAAAGAGCTTTGGGGAAGAGGGGAAATCCTTAGATATCCGCAAAGCAAGACTCTGTGGTATAGGAACAAACTTTTTTGTTTTGTTCTCACTTTTTACTTAAACTTTTCCTTACAAACAAACAAGAAAGCTGAACTTAGATCTTAAGCTCACAATGTAAGTGATGTCAAATCCAGAATTCCTAAAATCAGTGATTCTATCAGGCTTAAGTAAAGGCAGAAATTGATTGAAAGAAATTTCTCCTCAAGATTGAGCAGAGTATTATTGTTCCTATAAAGAAAAGCACTGCAAAAACCGGTTCAGCTCCTAAAACTCCAAGGATATATGTAGGTCTTTGAGAACACTGTTATGTGAGATGACCACAACTGGACTTCTTGGCTGACTTTCTTCCTTAGGTGGCAAGAGTAAGTCCTCTTGTCTCACTCATTTCTTTGCAGTTTATCCCTTGAGAGCCATGCACCCAGGAAGGACTGGGACAGCCCATGCAAAACTAGTGTCAGGACCTCCTTGCTTCTGCTGGCATCAAATTTTCTGGAGCACCAGTTCTCTTCTGCTTCTGGATTGTTCTAGAACCTACAGCATTAAATTAAAAGACTACTCTGAACCAACGAAGTCTTTAAGTTCTTTTCTCATCACTTCTCTCTCCAATGGATCCATCTCCAGCTATACAGAAAATTGCCCCACAACCCCCGACACACTGTTGGATCATTCAACTTGTAAAGTAGGGTTTCTCAGCCTCTGACCAATGGCTTTTATTCACAAGGTTCTGGCATTCAGTATCCTCTTCAGACTTGCTGCAACTCTCTCCAATTGTGTATCTCCAAATCAGCTAGAACCAGATGTCCCCAGAAATGGAGGAGGAGATTGAGAATCACTGCTGTGGTTCTCTGTTTATTCAGCTCTTGGTCTGGGAAATATTTTCACTACTTCTTAGTTAAAAGGTTGAAGATTTGAACTGACTCCCTCAGAGAGCTCAAGTGAGTCACTTTTGAACTAGGCTTATTATTCTGCTACTTAGATAACTCTACATGTTTGCTTGCTTTTCACTTTGTCATTATATTCCAATTACTTTATATGGGTTTAGGCCCTTTATAGGAACAGCTCTTTAGCGTCCAGGTCTAGACCACTGGAGTTGTGTTTGCCTCTTTTTGTTTTTAAGGCACCACCTGCAGCACATGGCAGTTAGCACCATCTCATTCACACCACAGTGCCTGGCACATAGTAAACCCTCAATAAATACCAGAAGGGAATGAAGTTGGTGGGGAAAGAAGGGCATGATGGAGGGAGAGACAGGGAATAGGATTTCAAACTCCTTGTAGAAAGAAAGAATGCACAGTTTGGGTAAATTGCTTCTGCCTTTGTGCAAGTGCACCTTTTGCCCTTACAGGTACATGCTTCTCAAATCACAAAAATCTTAAGTCTGGATAGGCTGGCTCTGGGGGTTAGATGCAAATGAGACCCAATTTTCTGCTAAATGGCATCCTCCAATTTGAAAAGCTTTTGAAATGCAACAGTTTTAAACCCAAACTGATGCCTTGCCTATGTTTTTCTTCTTCCACTAGTGAACACACTTAATAGAGTTTGGACCTTGGGTCTCATCCACCCCAAATCTGCAGAACTAAAGCCACCTCTAGATGGGCTGGGGAATAGGGGGAGTGCTGCAGACATGGAAGGCATGCACAAAAAGCAGCTGAAACAGGCACCTCTCTCCCAGTACCTCATACAAGGCCCAGTCCTGCACATTAGGATACAGTCAAGCTTCATCCAGGCTTGAAGTATGACTGAAAGGAACAGTTGAAGTCAGGGAAGAAAGACAGAGGCCATTAAGTTAACTTTTCCAGTAATGTAAAAGGTCATTTAAAAGGTACATAAGATAATCCCTGGTACCTTGTTGTTATGGAGTAGAAACTGGTGGTCAACTTAACACCAGCTGGATTAAATCAGCATGGTACTAACTGCGTGACAGCCCACCTGAGGAAAGTTGCCCACAGAGAGACATGGAAAAAGTGCTAGGCATTGTGAATTCTCCTAAGTGTTGCTGTTGGAGCCGTTGGTTCTCTTGGAGGAGCGCATCATGACTAGCATCCCTGATATGAGTTCGACAATTATTATCAGAGCTCAGGACTTTGTTGGTGAGAATGACTATGGTTCACTTTGGGGAAGCTCTGGTCCTTGCATCCAGCATTGCTTCCTGGCTCTGAAGGGGAAGATGTGTGCTGTTTAATCAGAAGAAACTTTCACGCTGGCTTTCTTATCAGCAGAGGAGCTTAGGACCTCCGGATCACTGAGGATGGCTGTGGTGCTTTTCAGGACATCCCTGGTCTTTGCTGTGAGTGTGACTTCTCAGCTCCAGCGTAGAACCTCAACCTACCAGCACAGCTCCTTCACCTCGCTAGCGTAGACTATCTGGCTTCCACCACTGATCTTTGGGCTTTCCTAGCACAGATCTGTAAAACAGACTGGTGTGAGTCCTTCTTGTGGGCTCTAGACCTCCAGTTGGACTTGTGGGAGGCATTGTCATGAGCTCTGGATCTTCATCTGGACTCATGCAGGATACTGCTGTGGGATCCAGGCCCCTGGCTGAATATTCTGGGTCTTCAGTGTTGTGGATAGATTTCCTGCACTTTCTATGTTAACTCTGGGTGACCATCATAAAATAAGATTATAAATTCTGTGTCCTGATTCTAATTGTTCTACTCTCAACCCCTGACTACAACACTTGCATAGGACCAAGGTATAAAATTCACTTTCCATGTGTTCTCCCCCACCATGTTGCTATCATGGCCATCTAGGTCACCTCACGCTCTACCTCACAATCAAATCAAATCAAATCCTAAAGAGCAGCCCTAGTTGTTCACTGCTCTTTCTCCATCCTCTCATCCCAACAGTTTCATTAACCACAGCCTATCTGCATTTTTAAAAATACAGAAAACCCTACACTTCTCCTTCCTTCCACCGTGTCTTTCTGAGGTCTCTCCATCACTCTTTTCACTTCCCTGTCTCCCAACAACCTCAAGACCTAGCCCTTCTCTTACCTATGTCTAGGTCTCCTTATGCTGCATTCTCCCGTCAGCGTTCCGTCTGCTGCGCCTTCTGTGCAATCTGCCGGTGCCCTGGGATAAGCCTTCCTTGAGCCTCAGTTCTCTTCACGCTCTCACATGAAGGCTGTAAGAATCTCTCCCTCCCAACTGTCAATGCACATTGAACTGAGCACATCTACAATGCTGTGGACTGAAAGATAAAACGTGTGTCTTCAATCAATGAAATTATACATTTAACCCATGTTACAGCCACTGTGCATGCATTGTTCTGCTTGCCTGAAGCTCAGCATTCTTAAGGGTGTGATCCCTATGCTCCTTGTCAAACATGGCATATGCTAGCACTGTACTTATCAGCACACAGACAAGTGTATATTCATGCATGTATGAAATATGACAGGAAGAGTAAATAAGCATTCCTGCCTTAAAGAATACTTGTACAGCACTCTGAGAGCCTGAACCAAGGGAAATGCAAGTTCAACTCCAACCTACACAACTCATCAAAAGCTTAGCAACTTATCAAGACCCTGTCACAAAAAAAGGTTGGGGTTGTAACTCAGTGCAAAGGTCCTGGATTCAAATCCCAGTGGTACCAAAGAGTGAAGAAGAAAGAGAAAAAGAAAAAGAAAGGAGAGAGAGTAGGATCCGGTATACACACGTAGTTCAATAGGTGTTATAGTAAAAAATATATACTTATATATTTTTAAAAGCCTAACTTGTATACTTCAAAATACTTGACTTATATGAAAAACACAGATGTTTATGCAAATCAGTGAGAAAAAGCATTAAAAGTGACAGTATTGTGACCTACAACACACAGATACCCTGTGTGTACAGACTACAAACCACCTAACAGACGCATTCCATTTCACCTTCACAGCAGTCCTGGGAGATGGGTGTGGTCTCTCCCATGTATCCAAGCAAACCGAAGCTCATCCCACTGAATTTAAGCAACTCACTTTGTCTTGGTGCCAAAGTCTGAGCTCAAGAATCCCTAAACAACGTCTTATCAAGTTCTCTCATCAACGAGGTAAAAGGTATTCACTCCCCTGGAAGTTACCAAATCTCACTGCCTGTCCTACAGCTGTGCTGCTGCCACTCACAAAAGGAACTGGAGCATCTTTCAACTCCCAAGTGGCCCTTCTTTCCTTAGGGGGAGAAATCAGAAAGGACCTTCTCAGTTCACACACTGGAGGTTGTAGTTAGAAAATAAGAAATCAAAGAAGCAAATAAAAACAAAGTCAAGCCAAAAACCAACATGGGTTAGTCCAGATCTTTTAAGAAACAAATGCTGAGATGGGATTAAATGAACAAGGATTTTATTAGAGGAAATATCCATGTTAGAAAATAGGGGGAGAACTAGACAAGCTGTTTAAGCCATCAAATGGCAATGCAGGCCTAACCAAGAGTAGGAGAAGGTAAAAGCCTCTAAGACCACTGGGTGAGACTTGAGTCAAACTTGGGTTTCCAAGAGTGAGGTTTTAACATGGTATCCTTGCTTTGTTCGTCCACTGGCCAGGGGCAGCCTGGGAAAGGCAAGGCGTGGGAGCAAGCTTGGCGTTTGAGCAGGTGCTCATTCCTTCGGTCAGTGACCCTTCCTGAGTTTGGAGATGTATTCTGGGTAAAGAAGAAAGACCTTCAACTGGGTTAAAGCAGCTTGTGTCCCTGTGTGTCCAGGAGGCTGCATTAACCACTGCACATGTTCCCTGTGGATGCAAAACAAAGAAGTGAGGCCACGCCACTCACAGGACTTCATCTGTTTAGCATTGCAATTTATTTGGTCTTCACAGTGAACTCTGCACAGTGACTCTGCACAGTGAAGCTTTTTAGCCCTCCTTTCCAGGGATATCTGCTTTCCAAGAAGCACCAATCAGAGAGAACAATGAGATGCTGGGTCAGGACAGACCTGAGACTTAAATGAGGGCCAGAGAGCAAGGAGCCAAGAGAGCAGGACCAATGCCACAAACTCACCTCCACAGTTGTGGGCAGAGAGCCACAGATTACACTACTGCTGATATATTCTAGATGGTATCCTTCAACAGAATGACTCTAGAGAAGCTCCTCCCATTCTCCCTGGGAGGCAAATTGTTCAAGTCGATTCCTAAAAAAAAAGCAAACCCCATGGTTAGAGCATACAAGCAGGTTATCCTATAACTCCCAGCTCTAGATCCTACTCTCAACCCACTGCAAATGCTTTTAAACAGATCGATGATATTCCAGGAGAAGACAACAAAGCACCATCAGAGGTGCCAGCCTGTCTCATCTTTATTTTTTTTTTATCAGTACCAGGGATCGAACTCACAACTGCCTGCTTGCAAGGCAGGCGCTTATGCCACTGAGCTAAATCCCCAGCCCTCATCTTTATTTTTGATCATCTCTCTTTATAGGTGTCTGGATCTGCCCACTGGGTTTTACTTTTCACCTATGGGATCATAACCCTGAATTGCCAGAACCCTGAGTTCCTTATTGCCCCCAGTGGTCTCAAGCCATAAATTTCAAGTCCTATTAACTTGACCAGACAGAATTTTAGGACTCTTACAGAAGCATACAGTTAACCATCTCCTGTCAGCTGGAAAATCAGCTCAATTGCCATTCAAGTTCATGTCCGAAGTCTTTTATGTTAATGAAAGCACTAGAGTCTCAGAAGCTATGGAGACAGAAGGACATCCACGAGGGGAGAAGGAGCCAGCAAGGGGAAGGGAAAGCTAGGCTCATGTCACATGCATTCCCAAAGGACAAATCACTTTGCCCAAATTGCTCTACTGGATCACGTGTGTAAGTCCTGTGTGACACCAGCCTATACAGTTTCACTGTTCTGTTCTGTCTTGAGAAATCTATGTACATAAGTGTGTACTTCATGGGACAAATAGTGACACAGCATGTCAGTGGCCAAGGACACCAGCTTCTGCTCTTTGATACCTTGAGCTTCATTCACATTTAAAGAGTGATACTTTCCCTTCCTTGGCCGCCTTTGCCCTTGCTTTCCCTCTCTCATTCCTCCTCCTCTCCTCCTCTTCCTCTCCAAATCTGTCAGGTCTCTTGTTGCTCTCTCCCACCTGGGATGACTTTCTGCTACATCTACATTCTCAAATTCGACTTGCATTTCAACTCTTCCTGCCTTCATGAAGACTTCTGTTGTCCTCTCTCAATCTCATTTTACACCAATAAGAACTTTCCTTTGAAGTAGAAATCTTCGTATTCATAGCTTGTCCTCCAGGATTAGATAGAACATTCATTGAACGCAGATCGCATTCATTTATCTCATCTTGGTTGATTTAGAGTGAATGGAATAAGCTCTTAAACATAGTACATAACAGGTGTCTCATGCACGTTCATACATACATTAACAAGTACATGGAGATACACTCAATCAAGTATTTAACACTGGCTACACAGCTTCATTTGCATAGGCTTCTCACTTTGTTCAAGACCGAAGTCATCTTATTCTTCTCATCTTGGTTTCCAGCTAGAGTGGGAGGCCTCATCATCTACCTAGTTAAAAATCATCGTGGCATCCCGAATTCTTCCCTACTCTTTTACCTTCACATCTAATCAGTTCCTAGATCTCCCAACTTTTCTGAGCATTTCATTTCTTCCTCTCTTCTCTAACACCGCTCATCCACTTCAGAAATTCTTTTCTCTGTATTAAAGCATTAGCATCCTTACAGGTTTCACCAACTCAAAGTTTACCCTCTTTCTATTCATGTTGCCTATGGAGTGATCCTTCTAAACCAATTCTGTGTGTACAGTGGTACCTTGGCTCATGAATGCTTTTGGTGTTTATAATCTTGCAAACAGAAGGATTTGGTTGAGCTTTGCTTTTGTTTGCAAGTTCTGCATTGGGTGGTGAACATGACTGTGGGCATATTTCCTGCAAGAACAGAAATGCTACTGTCTTTTCCAGAACCTTAGAACAACTTAAGCTCACAAACTGAGGTATCGCTGTACGAATCTCCCACACTAAAGTACTGTGAGGAAGTCCAGGCTCTGAACGCCAGCCTAGAGATCTCTTGTGGCCTGACCTCTCTCTGCACTGACAGCTTTAGATGGTGCCTTTCCTGGTTTTGCTCCATGAAGTGAAAGCAACGCTGTGCTCTACCATGCTGCTTGTGGCTGCTTGCTTCTTTGTGTAGCTGGAGCTCTGCCACTGTCTGCCTCTCCGACCTCTTCTGCATTCATCCTCCAAGCCTGCAGTGGGCGCTCTCCTGCCCGAAGCCTCCCCTTCCTAAACGTGCTCAGCCTTCCCCCACCATGTCCCACAGCACTTTATTGTTACCTCTGTTCCACCATTCACTCAGTGTATTGCAATGTTGTTTTCGCACCTTTCCCTCCCATGACCTTGAGCCTTCTGTGAAAATGATGTCAGTATAGGATGTGAGCAAAAATACAGGAAATGTTTAAAACAGTATCAAAGCAAAAGGCACGTGTCATTCATTGTCCTCAAACACTACCCCTTGCTTTTGAACACACGTATCCCGTACTTCCTGCCACCTTTTGAAGCAGATCTGCAAGTTCTCTCTCTTGTCTTTCATTGCACTGTCACAGCTGCCTCAGTTTCCTAAAACAATTTCAAATCTTACCATCATCGTGATTCTGACTTCTGGGGAAGAAGCACGGGTCCCACGTACCAAATCAGGTGAACAAGGTGTATGAGGACACAGGGTGATGTTTTTATGAGCTTCCCCATTGGGTGGGATCGGGCAACAACCTTCACATATATTTTTAACACACCTCGTAAAGATACACACAAAAAGAGACTTCCAGAACTGCTTTAGAGAGTGGCAAGAACAATGGGATAAGTGTGTTCTTAGCAAGGAGGAATATTTTAAGGGTGATGAACAGCATTGTGTCTTCTATGGCAATAAAATCTTTTAGTTAAATGCACACCATATATTTTGGTCAGTCTTTGGTCAGTCTATTAACATTTGCCACAAGCAATGCGGATCTTCGGGTACCCATTCCTTCAAGAGATTCCAGAGATGAATTTTGTGATCCAAGGGGGCCAGGACCCTTGTCCAGCTGGTCCATTCTGTCCAGTTCATCCTGGCATAATTGGGAGACTTGATGGAACACATCAACTTCCCTGCACCTCCACCAGGGGCTCTTATTATGAGAAGACTTTATTAGTCACTTGTCATTATTCTAACTGCATTTGAAGCATAAGTCTTGAGAACTAGAAAGTAAAAATAATAAGTAAAAAAAAAAAAAAATAACCAAGCCACATTGTGTTTTCCTGATCAAGAAGGAATTTTCAACCCTCTAAACACTAGAAAACTATGTGAGATTGCAATGATTTGACTCCTTTTGCCTGGAAATGCCAGTATCAGCAGTCAGATCAAACAGCTCAGAGATCTCTGGAAAATATAGAGAAATCACCACATATCAAAATACAACTGAATGTAGTCTGGACCTTGAACTTTTTTTTTAAAGGGGAGGCTATATAAATGTAGATTATAACCTTCTCCCTGGAATTACTCTTCTATTTTGTGAGCAAATAAAATAAGAGTATCTTTTTCCATGAGTTCTAGGCTGTTTGACTTTGCCATGCCCCTGTTGCCTGACCCCTGGGCTCTTTCTTCACGATGGCTGCTTCAAGTTGTCACCTCCTCTGTCACCCACAGCCCAGCTGTCCAGAAGGAGATGGGACATATTGCAGGAAAGGAGTCTGAGGAAGGGTGGGGCCTGAGAAGATGAGGAAAGAGCCAACAGCTGTACAGTCTGGAGGCAATCAGGCTTGTGCTGTGCTTCTGTGTACAAATTGGAATCAAAGTTATTATTAATACTTTTGTTCTAGATTTTTAGTGAAGCTATACTGAAGCCTGGCTAACTGATAGCAGTGTTTCTGGAGGAAAGAAAATGCATCCTGAGTTTCAAACAAGTTTGCAATTTGGAAAATAATCTGTGTTAAGTGGAGATTCCATTTATGTTTGATAATAAGCCATAAAATTGAAGTCAACATTTTTCTGCCTTCTTAATACTTTTAGATCTTATTGAGCTTATTGTTCACCCAAACATTTTATCTTCTTTCCATAAAAGCTGTTACTAAGTAGAATGATGACCTTGTAAAGGTGATTTTTGAAAGTAAATTTACTAAGAGTATACTTTTAACACACATTGAATTCATTTGATTTCTTTTGATCTATGGCTACTAGCTTCTTGGTTTATTCTGAATTTTAACTTTTGCAGTTATCAGTATCACTGATTCCTCCAATTACTGATCATAAACACATCTCACAAGTGTTTCTTTTATAATTATTTTCTAATTTCCATTGGTTGAAACATTGAATGGCAAGACAGAACCCAAACGACCCTCCCTTGGAGATTTTCTCTCAAATTAACACTGATTTGGCACTGGGCCACTTTTATAAGATGTGGCCATTTAAGCACAAATTCCAGTGGCCCTCACATCTGCCTCAAGTTTCTTTGTCTTGCTCCAAGCACAGCAAACATCACAGATTTTCATGAGATGAGAACAGACAGTGGATTGATCCTCCCCATGCCTTCTAACCCAGGCTTCCGAAAAAGTGTATTTAGAATTACCACCTGTTAGAAACATGCTTGGCAGAAATACATAATTTGACATATTAGGCAATGGTTAGGAAATTCAATATTTCTATTTCTCAAAATCAAGCAAGAAATTATTTTTAAAATGTGTGGGAAATGCTCCCAAAGTGCCCCCATTTTATTCCCCCCACCAAGGGGCAGTCGGGAGCCCTTTTAACAAAATGTTCTCATTTCTCTTCCTTGGGGAGGCAAAACCAGGCAACACAAATGTTTGTCCAATGACAGGGTGAGTTCGATTCTGGCAACCCAGTCCTTTCCTTGGGAAGACAGAACACTCTACATGTGAAATGCATTCCACAGAAGCCACAGAATCCTCAGCAGATCCGTGGGACAAAGCAGGGACCCTCTCTTTCCAAGGGCACTATTTGACCCTGAGCTATCCAGTCCTGCAGAGCCTACTTCTTATTTCTTTTGCCATAAGCACAGTGAAGATGGGAGGGAGAGAGGTGGAAGGGTAGAGGAGACCCCCCCCCCCGCCAGGTTGTCATTATAAACAAGCATAGAGTAGAAGGGGAACTAGCTGGAGAAGAAGGGGAGAAACACTCACTGGGGGCTGCAAATGGGCCAAGTGTGCTCTGAGTACTTCACACACATTCCCAGGCAAGCCACATCCTGATGGGAAGGGATGCATTTGACCTGTAAAGAAACTGGGTGGAAGTTAGGTAGCCGGTACACAGCAGGGGTGAGTTGGAACCCAAATCATCCAGCTTTCATTTTACCCTTAAACCCTACAGCTGAGAAAGCCAGAGAGAGAGAAACCTAACAAGGCCAAGAATTAGATCTCAGTGGGAAACCATTGGCTAGTGGGAAAGCCACAGCAGATGTCAAGGTCCTTGAAGAAAGACCGTGCCTTTCGCCCTGTGCTCCATTCCCATCCCAAACCTTGGATCCTCACCTGCCCACCTCAGTGGTTCCAGTTACAAGGAGGTTGACCTTGTTAAGGATTCATTTGTTTTTAATTATACTTCACACACTCAATCCTCCTCCTCCTCCTCCTCCTCCCGCTCCTCCTCCTCCCCCCTCCTCCCCCTCCTCCCCCTCCTCCCCCTCCTCCTCCTCCTCCTCCTCCTCCTCCTCCTCATCCTCATCCTCCTTCTCAGTTGTTTCCTGAGAGGTAGGAGGGAGAAATGTGTCACTGGGGAGGTTTTGAAAAGCATGCCTTCCCACCAGGCACTCTTTCATTCCCTCTAAGAGTGCAGCCCCAGGGAATATCCCACCAGGTGAGGGACTGAGGCTTTCCATAGTGTGATGGAAGCGGGAGAAGAAATAAGAGAGATCCAGCAGAAAGGAGGGGAAAGAGGACTGAGAAGGGGAGGACTCTCATCAAGAGAAGGAAGGGGAAGGGGAGGAGGAAGAGGTCGCCCCCTTGAAGGAAGGACCTTTTCCCATGGAAATGCTTTGTAGCTGGTGCCCATTAGCAGCCCTGTGCATAATAAGAGCCCGGCCCATTGTCATGTAAATTAATTCAGATGACAACACTCTCCTGGACAACGCGGCCCTAGCACTAGGAAGTTTCTCACACTGCCGCAGCCAATGCTAACCGGCCTCTGCGCCATCTTTCATTAATTATTTCTCTGCCCTTCGATCCTCCGGGGAGGTTTGTTCTTAGCAACGTCCTCCTTCACCTCCCAGCTGCTGCTGACCACTTTTCACTCTGCAGCCACTGACATCACCGTCATCCACCAAATAAAGTATCAAGAAAATAAATAAAAACTACAGAGACATCCACACTTCAGATCAAGACCGACCAAGAGCCCTCCTAAACAGAGAAATGGGGCCATAGCCGGGCTTTCTCAAGCAGGGGCTTCTCTTTCATAGTTTTTGGTCATGGATAGAGTTTCTCAGCAGCGTTCCTGTCCCCAGCAAGGCACATTTTCCTGTCACCCATTCTGTCATTCGGGTTCTGATAAGCTGAATTCTTTAAGTTTAACCGCGGAGGGTGACTCACTCTTGCCAGTTTGTGCCAGCAGTTTTTGCTCTCAGCCAGTGTCTAAGTTATCACCGCTTGTCCACATCAGCTGGCCTGAGTCAACCACCAGGCCACTGTCACCGACAGAGGCTAGTTTTGTCCTGAAAGCAATTTTCTGTCAACTACCTCAGAGAGCCAAGAAAAAGCTAAACCCAGGTGGCTGCCACCAAAGGCTGAAAGGGGTAGAAGCCGAACTGCTCTTCTCTGACCATGCAACCACAGACGCCTTCTCTTTCTACCTCATGGCCCCTGGGTCCCCAGACTGGTTTCTGCTGCTTGTAGCAACTGATTTCTCCTACACAAAATTAGTAGCTGGCCCTCTTACCTCCAGGACTGTGCCTTCTTTGATACACAGCATGGCAGACTGGTTCTCAGGTCCAAAAACCAAGGTCAAATTCTTCTATTTTCTATACTTGGCATGTCTCAGTGCACTCATCTATAAAATGGAAATAACGACTAGACTCTTGGTGAATCCATTTTGGGACTATACAGTGCATGTAAAGCACTGAGAACAACCTCTGGGACCCTCAGCATTTTATTAAATGTTAGTTGGGGTCATTAATTATTGTGCCCATTTCACCTTTACTTGGCTTCTCTAGCTAACTGTTCTCTTCCTAATTCAGCAATTTTGTCCTCTATTTATTGCTTCCAACCCCCCAGGCAGTCCTAGCCCAATTTCTCTTGCTCTCTGAAATATTTTACAACAATGAAATGCAAAATATCATGAAGCACGATTAAGGTAGAAAGCATTTGACACAGGGCGTCTTGTGCTGTCCCAAACACTGGACTGTCCCTAACCCTAATGTTCCTGGTGTTTCCACCACACATCTTAGTAGAAGGGGTAAGGAGAGACAGAAATGAAAAGCAACACACTAGAAATCAACTTTAGCTTACACATTACCTCAACGACAAACAGTCTTTGTAGCAAGACACAAATTATATGCAAATCATATGCAAATCTGAATGTAAATACTTTGGGCCCAGGGAGAAAATTCTTGAGAAGATCCCACTCCCTTTCTCCCTCACCTCCCAAGCTGCAATTTGTTTTCTGATTGGTCCACTGGGAATTCATTATGAATATTCAAAGATGTGGATAATTCTCTGAAGGCACTCATTTCACCTGCTTTTCAAAGGGCAAAG